GGACACCAAGTTGATCCTTTTTGTAAGCTATTGGGCCTTATAAGCAATCTTTTTCCAATGGTTTGAGGCTAATCTACTTTGTCGGGAGCCAAAAAATTATAGTCTGTAGCCCACGGATCCAGCACGAGTCAGTAGTCCTGTAGTACATCAACAAAAATCTTAGAGAATGTCAATATCAATCGATCGATCAGAGAAGAGCTAAGAGCAGAAGTACATCAGCTGGAATAGCACATTAGAAAAACACGACTGGACTAAGGCAGGTGAAAGAACTTCTTGGAAGTTACAACTCCAAGACATCTAGGGAACTAATCATCTTCCAAAAGGCAACCCTGAGATTTATAACAGGACCAGGCTACGGTCCCATATGAACACCTTGGGNTTAGAAAAACACGACTGGACTAAGGCAGGTGAAAGAACTTCTTGGAAGTTACAACTCCAAGACATCTAGGGAACTAATCATCTTCCAAAAGGCAACCCTGAGATTTATAACAGGACCAGGCTACGGTCCCATATGAACACCTTGGGGATCAGTGCAGACGAGTTCTGTGTTTACTGTGGCACGGCAGCAAAAGCCCCACTGCAACTCCTTTTAAAGTGCGATACGGTTGCCAGAAGAAGACTAACACGCCTTATTAGTGGAATTAGAATTGGGGAGTTTAGTAATAACCAATACTGAATTTTTTCAAGTAAATAGTTGTGAGCAAAAAAAACCATTTCTTTTACTAAAAACTTGTCCACTACTTATTTTAAAATAAGTCCATGAGCTCATATCACCAGCAATAGGTCAGTGCCCAAGTGGCTGACTACGTGACTGGCTATGTGACGGTCAAACTATCATTACATACTAACGTAATTCTATTTACATAATCACACCACAGAGGCTGCTGCTGCGGATATTGCGCCGCCACCATTCGGGCAGTTAGCCATTGAGACGTGTCGCTATCTAGCCAGCTAGACAGTCTGAACAAGCGCCTCACNGACTGGCTATGTGACGGTCAAACTATCATTACATACTAACGTAATTCTATTTACATAATCACACCACAGAGGCTGCTGCTGCGGATATTGCGCCGCCACCATTCGGGCAGTTAGCCATTGAGACGTGTCGCTATCTAGCCAGCTAGACAGTCTAAACAAGCGCCTCACTATAGCTGTCCATTCAAACATATATGTACAAATCTGTTTAGTGTAGACTACTGTATACAAATGTGCATTTGTAAATATTTGCATCATTTTGTATTGAAATTTGTAAGCAGACATGGATTTGTCTACAAATATTTACAAATTGCGCTACATACGAAGTTTTTGCGAAAGAAAACAAGAGCATGCGAAAAACTTAAAGCCTAAGGACAAAGATGGAAAGGAGCGCGGAGATATACTATGAAAAGTGTGCAAAAACAGCGAAATTAATTGCAATGCTAATGTTTGGGCGCGTTTGGCTTTTTGTCTACTAGTTTGTTGTTAATTTTGGTTTTTATTTACATTTATTTTATAGCATTTTTGTGTTTTGTTTTAGGATCTTCGTTTTTTTCAGCTCCGGCTGCATTATCAGTGTTGTATATCCCAAAAATTCCAAAGCATCGCTAGGCAAACATCAGAAAAAGAAATTTTGTCGAAGCATAAATGTTTTCCAGCTCACTTAGGTGAAAAAAACTGGAATGAGCTGATCGAAAGCACAAAAGTGTAGGAGAGATAGTGCAGAGGTGTTGAAGAAAATTTTTGGAATAAAGCAACGATAGAATAAGAAATAAGGTTTTCGTTGGTATCTGAGGTCACTTGCGGAAGGTAATTTTTGAATTGTTTTGGTTCTATATAACTTCCATTAAACCAAGTTTATTGCCTATTATAGTCAAGCGTCGCGAAAAGCTTTGACTTAATCACAACCTTAACTGATCATTGCATACCTATGCTTGGTCCGGATGGATCCTTCGCCATCCATATTCATTCAAGGGAAGATAATACGAAAAGCAACCTTTGGAACCAGGGCCGAGTGAATCTATTTACCGATGGAGCAAAGTTGAATGGACGGAAAAGTGAAGCTGTCTTCTGCGATGAGCTCTCCAGTAACCCCAAATTTGTGCAACCAAATCATTTCGGTTTTATTCAAGCGGATGTATTCGCCAGATAAGTATTTACGAGTATATATATGTATGCATTTCGATATTCACCCATCAAATAAGGCGCTTTGGTCTTTAAAGGAACGCTCAAAAATTGTCAGAGAAAGCCTCGACCGCAACATAATATTTCGCACTCTTGCAGAGTTTTGGCCAGATAAAGAGACTGTAGGCGGGCCGCTGACCACAATTGGTTGCTGTTTGAAAAATCGGCGCCTAGTCAACTCAGAAAGCACTTTGCGGAAACCTTTAAATGGAAGGTCGCTAAGTCCTTCTAGCCATGGATAGATCAAAAGCGGTCTAAGGAGCTGTTAAAAACTAACACAATTGGAATCCATGAGGTAAATTTCAAGTTATCCTTTAAACGAAGCAAGGTAGAACGTAGCGAAGTAAGGTAGAACGAAGCGAAGCNGGATAGATCAAAAGCGGTCTAAGGAGCTGTTAAAAACTAACACAATTGGAGTCCATGAGGTAAATTTCAAGTTATCCTTTAAACGAAGCAAGGTAGAACGTAGCGAAGTAAGGTAGAACGAAGCGATGTAAGGTAGAACGAAGCGAAGCTGCTGGTTTTCACACTAAACGAAGAGGTGTGGAGATTTTTTCATGGAATCGGCTAAAATCAAAAAATGCTTTGCTTTCAGCTCAAAAATGCCTCTGAAAAAAGCAGCATGAATGAATACTTCCATACATGTAGCTTAGCCAGGCTCGGCCTCGATTCCTGTGTGAACGTACCCTTAGGGTCTTTTCAACTTCGGGAATAGATATTATATATTTTTATTCTATGTATTTGGAGATATCTAGAAATTTTCATTACTGTTTTGTGAAGCTTTTGGTTGGATTTTTGAGACCCTCCGGGATTTTCTGGGGACTTTTTCGAAGTTTTTAGTATTTTTTAGATATCTTTCCAGATGTGGTAACTTGTGGCATTTTCTCGGTACCATTTGGAAGGTTTAGCGATTTCTTAGCACCATCCGGATTTTTTTTTAATGTAATTTTCGGAGTTTTTAGACTCTCCGGATGCTTCTTCGGACTATTTGAAGCTCTTCAGGATTTTTAGGCACCTTCTAGGATTTTTTGGGGATTATTTGAAACACTTTAGGATTTCTGGAAACCTTCGGGGATTTTCCGGGGACACTTGAGGATTTCTTTGGAACTGTCGATATTTGTTGCGAACTCTTCACAATTTTGGGAATTTACGTGTTTCTTTCTGGAATTTTTGGGTACTTCTGACTCATTCTCCGAGCTCTTCTAAATTTTTTAGGTACTTCTTAGCACCTTCCAGAATTGTATGGGTATTCTTTGGCACGCTTCAGGGTTGTTGGGCCCTTCCAGGATTTTCTCGGGACTGGTTGAGCCTCTGCAGGATTTTTAGGTCCCTATCGGTATTTTTTGTGACTTTTCATACTTTATTCGACACATTTAGAGATTTCTAGAATCTTTAATTTGAACGATACATTAAAATTTGTACGCTTTTTTAATTATTAATGAATTTCTAAATATTAAGAGGCAAAAAATACTCGGATTTTCTTTCTCGATATAGTTGCTAGAATCCTGTAATCTATTAAGCTTTTTCGCTTTTAATTTTAAAACAATTACAAGGATCAAATTTGCAAAGCGGTTGCTCAATGTTTAAACAAATCAAATATTCAGTTAGTTTGTTTAACAATAGCCCGTGCGCTCGATCAATAGTGATTTTCAATGCGATCTTTCGCGCCTTCCTCCAACTTAGCAGTCAACTTCAATAGCCAGAAAAGGTTTCTAATTAACGTTCAAATGATCGCTATCATGAGTCATGTTTTGAGTTTAGGGCGATCATTCATCGTTTGAAGATACATACATACGTATGTACATTAGGGTGGTCTAAAAACAGTAAAGTCGAAATTGTAATGCTATCACCCCCTAGGATTGTTCTATATCGAAAAAAGTATAACCCTATTTCTTTATTTCGAAATCAAAAAATATTTAGAGGTCGCTCAAAGCGCTCAAAATTTTCCATGTAATTTTATATGGGAAAAATAATTTTTTTCGTACAAATGGTGTATAATTCTTGAAAGTCAATATTTTGCGATCGGAAAACTCTGGTCTCTTCAGGAGACTTTCAACAATAATACCCAATCGTTTATTTAACAATTTTTTAATACTAACGATTTTTTATTGGTCGCCCCAGTGCATTTTTCGGGGTTTTGTGGGTTTTTGGTGGACCTATAAAATATTGTTGCGATGAAAAATTGGTGATATAAATAATTGGGTACTATTATTGGGAATCTCCTGCAGGTAAGCAGAGTTTACTGGTTGAAAAATATTAATTTTTGACTATTCTATACCATTTCTACGAAAAGTTTTTTTCCCCTAAAAATACATGGAAAACTTTGGGCGCTTTGAGCGACCTCTAAATATTTTATGATTTCAAAATAATAAAATAAGGGTATATTTTTTCGGTATAGAACAATCCTAGGGGTGAGAGCATACAAATTCCGACTTTACTTTTTCACATGCATTTTTGGACCACACTAATGTACATTCAAAGAGTTCAACACACGCCACCTACGCAATTTATATGTATAAACAAGAAAGGAGAGAACAAAAACAAAACGCAAACGCCTTTTTGTTGCTTATTAGAAGATACACCCAATCAGCACACGATCGTGAACATAAATAAGCTAATTATTTTCTCTGATTTTTCGCTTAAAATGAATCATACGGGCAATTTTCACAATTCTAATTGTATTTGTTGCTTGCTGCCTGCCGGCTCCAATAAGCATTAGCTCAGCATGCGAGCGAGCAGCAAGCAGCGACACATGTAGGGAAGCGTGCAAATCATATATGTACATATGTATGTACGTGTAAACTATAAATATTAGCTATAATTAGTCTGCGTTTACTCACCCACAGTCTTGATTATTTGAAAATCATCCAGATGATATTTTCGCACACCTTTCGCCGTTTCGACGCTGCTGCTGTCATCTGTCTCATCATCATCATCACCCTCATCGTCAGTCTCATTTCCATCATCCACCTCATCGGGATCATCCTCTTCCTCCTCTTCGGGATCGTCATCCTCTTCATCGAGCTCTTCACCTTCATCATCCTCTTCTTCCGCTTCATCATCCTCCTCTTCGTGTATATCATTATTTTTGCGCGCTTGTCGTCGCGCCTCATCGTCCAGCACGTGTTTAGGCACCTCCTCCTCTTCGCACTCCTCACTGCAATCTGATTCTAATGGATCTGAAGATTCACTGGAGCCAACACTGTGCGAACCGCCGCCGCCACAACTTTTGCCATTTCCTGGGCCATTTAGCTGCGCACCGCCAAGTTTCAGTGTGTATGTGGCTTCGTTAGTGGGTTTTTTGTCGAAAAACATTGTTGTGTTGGGCGCCATTTTGTTGTTGGAACTGGGTCCCAAATTTCGGAGGCGCGTGTATGTGGTGGCCGCCGACATGTTGGTGTGGTTGCGTGGGGGCGGGTGCGAGTGTGTGTGTGAATGTGGATGTATTTATGGGAGATTGCGTCCGATTGCGGCGCTCAGTGACTGAAAAAGATGAGACAAAATTCGTATAATAAAATTACTAAAAATTTACAAAAAATTAAATTTGGTAGTAAATCAAATCAACTAAAAATTACATGTACATACTTGAAACGTTATGTATATACTAAAAATCGTAGATAGGTACTAAAATTCAAAATTGGCAAAAACTTTTAGTAGTGTTTTATGCTCAATTACACTAACAAATCTAAAACACATTTGATGAAATGAAATTAACTCGAAAGTAAATCCACTAAAAATTAAATGTTTACTAAAAACCAACTGACAAATATTCATGACTAGTAAAAGAACACATAAGTACTAAAAAAGTAAACTGTCGAAAAATGAAATAATCTGAAAATCAAGTCTATGTATACAAATAAAGTGTACTAATAATCGTTTACTAAAAATTGTTGGTAATGAAGTTAAAAATGGTAAAATTTAGACACGCCATTATTCTAGTGCCCCAAAAAACTCAAAAGGTTTATTTGCTAAACATTAAATAAATGAATCTACCAAATATAAAATGTACCAAAAATCACAGGTACTAAAAATCAAAATGCTTATTATTATATTAATGTACTAAGAATCAAATTAAAATTTGGTTGCGCAAAGTCTGCGAAGGCTAACTGAACTTAATAATACAACTGTTCTACATTAATGATGTTCTAAAATGCTTGGAAAAGCTTGGTGAATTCGATTGAAATAATTATTTAAAACAAAATCATATGTTTTAAATTTTTCAAAAATCATAGAAATTTTAACTTAAAGTTATAAAATTTAATACTCCAAACAACTTTGTGAGCTAGGCTTTAAAAATTTCTTGTTAAATTATGCTTCCAAAATGATTATACAATTTTCTGAATTTAGTAACATGTAGTTCTTTTTAATTCAAAAGTCTTCACTATTTAGAACTTTAACATAAAATCTCACTCTAAAGTTATGTCTTAAAATGTGTACATATTTGCAAACATATTTTCAAGCTTGCACTAAAATATCTTCCATAAAATTTTATTCTAAGAGGTTTGTGATA